GTATAAGATTATGAATAAAATCTGCTTCATATGAATACAAAAAGGTCTGTTAACAACGGGGCGCAATTGGTACCCATGGAAATTCCAACAGATTGTTGGAAGACCTGGTCTCCAAAAACCAAATAGATATTGTCAATCAGAAACTCAAGCATCTTTTTATATAAACTTCAGAGTAAATGTGTGTACAATCAGAATGTTATTAACAAAATAATTTTGCAAATGACCAATGCCAAGGTAAGTTAACTTTACGAGTTCTTTTTTATTGCAAAAAAGCTGTCAAAGATGTCAAAAAGCCTGGACATTAATTTATCTTGGGGCCTAGTTGTATACAAAGTTGAAAAGTTGTTATGCTATTGATTTTGGTAAAATTTTGTGGTTTCAAATTTTCGAAACGTTCCTTGGAATTTTTAAGTATCCACATCTGATTTTCACCACTTCTCGAATATACTGTTTGCACAGTACTCCCGAAGTAAACCTTTTTGTAACTTTTTTTATGTAGTTGTTCTTTCTTCTCCACCATAATAAAGTGTTAACAATGATATTGAATATATTGCATGGTATTGTACTAGTCCATGTACATATAAATTCAATTTACAAATTGCAAAGATCTCAGCTACCAATATTTATCTGAAATTTGAGTCTGCTATAGAGTTTATACTGTGGATTTGAGCTGGAGGATGCAGAACAAGATCTGAAATAGGCGTATGCCTTTAATTAAAGCTCAACTCTGTGGAGAAATTTCAGGTGTTTGAGAATATTCTTCTCTCTAACCGTATGTTTTATTTTTAAGAATGAATATTTTTAAATTGAATTATACTAACAAAAAAATCATAAATTAGGAGTATGTATGAAAACAAATGCAAAAAAGAGAAGCAAATGGCCTTGCTACGAGGGGTGATCAAAAAGTTCGCGAACTATCTCTATATTTAAATAAAACCACAATTCAGATCAGAATGAAATTTGGCACACATATAGTCAAACACATGTTCTATAAATAGCAGATGTTAAATAATGTTTTGCTCCGTGTTTGTGACGTCAAAATGTGAAAATGACGTCAGTATGTAGGTCACTTGTGACAAAAAATGATTGACTCAGTCGTACTCGAGCAACGAACGGCTGTAAAAATTAAACGTTTATTTCGGAAATTCCTTTGTAGTAGAATATGATAATTTGTACAAGGTTTATGAAGACAAAAGACTTACCAGAAGTTCAATCATTTATTGGATTGAATGTTTTAGTGAAGGCAGGGGTATGGGTAAAAATGATGTTTGTTCTGTTGACCAGCGAAAGCCACCCGGTAAAAAGACGTGTCCTTAGTTGAGCAATTTGTTTTAAAAGATCTCCAAGTTACAGTAAGAAAAATAGTTGAATATCTGATTAATAATATAATTATTAAATCCCTAAAATATTGTTTACTTTAGACTTTAAACATATGAGATATGAAAAAAAGAAGGCGCCCATACTTTTTGCACATTGGATAAACGACGCTCCCGAGACAGAGGACTTGACTTGTGATGGTCACCATGCTAATTCTGGGAAGGAATATCCTTATCCACCCATCCTATTGCCGAGATGTGGCCGTTTCTGACAGATGGTCTGTTCTTGTGATAAAATATTAATTGCATGGTTAGAAATATAAGACTCGGAAAAATCTCTTAGCTTCTGTGAACAGACCGCTACGAAGCATGTCAAGTGACCGCCTGGATCACGTGATTCGCGTATGGGCAGAACAATTGCAGATGTGCATTAAAATCGGATAGGACATTTTTATAAAAATAATGAACACTGAAACCTCATTTTATTTCTTTTAAGGAAGTTAATTAATTAGTTCGCAAACTTTTTGATCACCCCTCGTATATATAGCTTTATATATTATTTTGGAATTGCTAAGGCAGACAAATGCTTTGTTATATCATATGTTCTTTTCTAAATCGTGTTGGTAACACATTCCCTCCAAAAAGTCTTTATAAGCTTGCTTGCTATGATCATATATTTCTGGATGTGATTAGAACACCTGGATAAGGACGACATCGGGAACTGCACAAAGAACGAACATATGGAATTTAATTTGAGTCTCTGGTACCCAACCGAGCCAAATATTCATCATGAGCAGTGTGGATGCATTAAATATAATCCTACAACAATGATGTAACTATAAACTTGTCTCTGGAATTTTTTAACATTGATTGTGACTCTCAAATGCCCTATATTTGTGAGTTGTGAGTTCAAAGTTTGTTTTTTTTTTTATTTGTGTTTTTTCCCCAAAGATTTTAATGCATGAAAATAGTATAACAAAATTTAGCGCAATTCTCCAATTCAATTTATAAGGGCAATCATAAATTAGCATATTTTATTCTTAAATACGATAAGTTTAAATCAAGTATTATCCCTTTTAGAAGAGAAGTTCTAATTTTAATATATTAGATATGTACATTAATAAAAGCAATTTTCATTGAGATTTCTTTTAATTACATAACATCATTATTGTATAAATTTAAAGGAAATCTAATATGAGAAATCAAGATTGTATTTTGTATAATTTTCCTTTAAATTGAATATTTTTCAACCCCAAAAGATTGTCAAAACATGACTTTTTTCAATATGCACAAAATGAATATCAGTAAGGGCAAAGCACAGAAAACTAAAACTCAGAAATTCTGAAAAAAAAAAAAAAAATAGAAAACTAACATGTAAGGAGAATTAAAGCAAATAAATCCTAAAAAATGAGTGTTTGTTTGCATTTGAAATTCAAGGTCTTCCATGTGGTATAACAATAAAAATCCACTTCGAATCGAAGTCAAATTATAAAAAAAAGCAATATACTAGGTATTTTTGAGGCGGTGTGACATTTAAATAATCTCAAAAATCAACAAGAGAATGGATATCCCAACAGAGAGTAACTTAAAAAGTTTTTAATTGTAGATCAGTGGCAGAGTTTCCAGTCTGATACATGTAACCAATGAACCATAGAACATTACTTCATTGACAAGTATTTCTCCTTGTAAATTGAGCTTGTCTTTTTCTTTCATTCTTCGTCATCACTTAAAGATACTTTAAAATACATTTAAATTTTCTTCTCTCAGTTTGTCACTAGATATATTATCAATTACTTTTTTTTCATTATATAACCTTTATTTTTTGTGTAATATGATTTATAAAGTATGAAAGGTCGGTAGATTAGAGATGCAAAATTTATTTTATCAATAAAGATGTGATTTTTTAACAACAGTTCAGCAGCTTCTTCTTGCAAAATTGGATACTTTGCTGTCTACTGGCAGATCTATCAGTAATTTTTACCTCCTTAAAGAATGAAAAGGTGAAGGTGAAGGTGAAAGATGATCGACCTAGTAAATCCTTAAAACAATAGTAATCGTAAACGTAGCAAACATGAACCCCCATATACACTAAAATTGCATCGGGTGACTAGAGAAGGAAGAGAAAGTATCCCCTTTCGACCGGACACACCTACCTTAAGCCTTAGAAGAATTACCTAATAATAGTTTCATATATTAAACTGTAGAAAATATGTTGATTCTTTGATTCTCTATGAAGCTTTACTTCTAGAACTTTTTTGATATAAATGAACTTCATTATCAATGAAGTGAATTTTAGCAAGAAAGAAATATGTGAGGAGTACAATAGTTTATCAAAACGTTTGAAGATGGGTGCTATAACATTCTAAGTTAAATTGAATTACCATGAAGGCTGTGCCTACAGAATTCATAAGTAACACAAAGCAAGAAAAGGCAATAAAGGTGGAAAATTTTAAAATGATGCGTTGAAAGTCTCCCCCATTTATTTTCGAAAACAAGTAATTTGGATTTACTTTGGCTCCCTACAGGCCTGTTTAAACTTTTCCATAGTTTAGCTATGCAAATTTCGCGAATTTCTTTAAACAAAGCTTGATGAATTCCTGGAAAAATTTACCCTGAGGCTCCCCCTCTCTAATGAATGGTCGAAGCTTATAATGTGTTAAATTTCATTGATGTACCTTAAGCAGTTTTGATTTTATGGCCCCAGTTCAGGAACCTTATAAGAACCTCTCATATGTCCTATTTATATCGAAAAATCCATGGTAGACTTTCAAAAAAAGATATAACAAGTTTATATTCATAGTCAAAATACTTTGATTACTATAGTAGAAACTTTGATAATATATACAATAGTAAACTATGGTTAACTATCATAATCTTTACTATAGTATCTTTCTTAGGTAATTATAAACTCTCAGTAGTGGTCAGGTAAAAAGTGCATTTCGTTTATTAATACACTGTACAACGATTATCAGATGCAACAATGGATAGAAAAATACATTACTAGACTAAGTAATCTTACGAGGGTTAAGTAGTTTAAAAAACTTTATTCCCATATTAACGAATAAAGACAAGAATTTATTGTTTTAATGATACAGTTATAAAACGCATAGGCCAAAAACAAAACTTGTTACATTGTACATTTAATTTGTGATTCGTGAATACGCTTAAACATTATAGTATTCTTTGCTTCCCTACCTCACTTAAAATTTCTTAAATTGTAGTTAGATCGACATCTCCATTCCCAACCCCCCAACAACACAATCAAATCAACATTATAAAATTATGATATTCTCTTATCGATATTTAATAGCTCCTGATCTAAATCATGTAAACACATCTACTCTGCTGTGAAAAGGAAATAGAAAAATATTTCATGTTGACTTACACGAGAACATGTCAGAAAAATATTGATCAAACCCTCAAAAGTTGTGAAAAATGATAAAATATTGAATTGTTCTGCGTATTTAACACTTGAATTATTAGGTTTACATAAAAGTGCATCAATGAGGATGTTAGTTTTTTTGTAGTTTAAAAGCTTAAAGATTTGATGCAATTGCATTTATACCGTTCAAGCTTTTTCTCTACAATAAACATGCAGCATTGTTTCATAAAATTCTTGATTCATCATTTATAATTCAACGATTTGAGAAATTTATTTCATTATATTGTTTTTAAACCATTAGAATGCAAGGATTGGAACATATAACGGTTTTAGGAGTGTTCTTCCAAAGCGTTGGTAAGGTTTGTTTTTAAAATAGAATGTAGATATATGTGATGAATGTGCTTAGCTTACAACGTTAAAATATGCTTATTTCAGAAATGAATTCTTTTTTTAAATCAAATATGTCCACTTTTTCTATCTACGATTCTGATTTTACTTCATGGAATTTCAGCATTTTGCTTTGAAAAGAAAAAAAAAATCACTATTTATATTTTAATTTTTGAAGGATGTGAACAAATTTGGAAAAGAGATGTAAGATTTGATGATAAAGTATTTCTCAGTGAATCTAATGTGAAAAGCAAACCATTATATGTACTATCTGTTATGTCGTGTGGAAGATTGTGTAAGAAGAATGGAACATCACCTGCATTTTCGCACATAGAAGACAAATGCTACTGTTACAGTAATAGGACAGACGGGCAATCCTTCACATTTCTGGAAGGGGCTCAGTATTATTTCCTATCAGATGATTACTTTTTTCTATCAGATGAAAAGAGTAAGTTGAAATTGTCATAGTTTTTACGAAGAAACGAACAATATCTTATATATCTTCAATGTGTAACCTTTTCAAAATTGCATTTCTAACTTTGCTGACATGATTCTCGAAATCATCAATCTACTCTATCTCCTAACTTTATACAACTGCAAATATTACAGGAGAATCAATTGTATTTCCCAGACGTTGATAAAAGCTTTATTTCCTTTCAATAATAACATTCATAACTTTAATTGTAAGAAATTAGGTGTCAATGCTTTCTAAGCTTCCATCAATCGTAGTTAAACACTTTGAGCGGCAAATGAATTTATGACCAAATTTATTATAATTTTACACACTGAATTGTCTACGGAGATTTCCATTTCTCGATCATGACAAGGAACACACGACGGATGTGACCGGTTGACAGGGGATGCTTACTCCTCCACATCACCTGATCCCACCTCTGATGTTTAGGAGGTGTTTGCTCTGCTCCTGATTTGTATTGTTTCAATAGACTTTTGAGCTTAATTACTCTTCGTTATCTCTATATCTCATGGAATATGTATCTTTGGTGAAAAACCCTATATCAGCCGAATAACGTTCTCCTGGGAAGAAAGTCAATAGTGACCATGCAATAAATCATATTATTTGAATTCCTTATGTTTTCCTGATTTGATTTGAACATATTTGATTATGTACTGAAACATAAATGGATTGGGCAGCAGGCATAGCCTATATAAGCCCTCTGCACGAGATATAAGAAAAAAAAGACATAAGAAAAAAAAAATCAGGGAATGATGATATGAACTGATTAGTAACATCACGAATAGATAGAGAGAGGATTTTATTGAAAGAATTCTAATCTACAACTCAATACATATTTTACAAAATTATCCTAAGAAGTTGGTCTTTAAAGACATTGAAAGCCTATTCTTTAAGAACAAAAATATGTTTCTTATTCAACTTGTGCTTACATTAGTTGGAAGAAAAAATGGCTATCTTGGTATGTGATTTTTTTTAATGGAAAATAATACAGACAGCCATGTACCTCTTTAAAAGTAATATTAGAAACTAAATATCGCAAGGTATACATGTATCAAGTATTCATTTTTATACAAATTTATTTTAGATTGCAAAGATCACAACTACCAATATCTGTCTGAAATCAGGGTTTGTTATAAAGATTACAATGACAGCAAGATCTGGCAGGATGCCAATAAGAAATGCAGATCAGACGGAGGCCATCTAATTATGCTTGACACTGTGGGAAAGCTCTCTGTTTTTCAAAATATCATTCCTAAAAACGGTAGGTTTGTATGTTTATGAAAAAAATGTAAATGTAAAAAAATTAAAAAAAAAAAGATAAAAGAAAGATAAAAAGAAAAAAAAAACGTTGATGATTGAATTAAATCTTTTTTTTTCAAATTACGGACAATGTTTTCAAAGAAAGGTACTTAAGATATAATAAAAAAAATGGATTTTTGAACATCTTCTCAGGTACAAACTAGCAAAAAATGATGGAAATTATCTGGAATCAATTTGAAATGTAGTGAAGATTTACGTTTGTTGAAATCTTGTCTCTGTGGAGGATAAGGGCCACAAAATGGTCTTACAAACATCTTCAAAATATTCTTTTCAAAAACCAAAATCCTACATTTTTCCGTATTACATGGAACCATTCTTCTGAAATTCAAATTAAAGAATACTGAAACCATTTCTACTTTGGAATGGGGCCAAAATGAGGATCAAAATTTTTACATACAAATAAATACGAAATATCTACAATTTTTTTTATTCAAAAGTAACAAACCATACCTGTTCTTTTAATTATGCTGGCATCTTCAATAGAGGTAAATTTCTTAAACTATGCACCTTGTGGAAGGGACTTCGCCACAAAAAAGTCTCCTTAATTCTAGCATATTTTTTTAAATAAAAAATGGGAACAATTACAAGGCTACACAATTGTAAAATGTAGATTAAGAATCCCCAGGTATTGTCTATGCAGTGCAAACATCCTCATGTTATGAATGGTCGCAATAGCTCAGCACTCGCTTGCTCCGAATCCGCGTCAAACATAAGACGTTTAACATACGTAGTTACTTTTCTTTCCACAAGCGCCTTAAAACAAATATCCCTCACGGATACGAACATTAGCACTATGCATAGGTCACCTGAAGGAGATGAGGTCTCCAAATAAATGGTTGATTGATTGTATGTTGTTTTACGTCTCGCTCGAGAATTTTTCACTCATATAGAGACGTCACCATATACCGGTGAAAGGCTTCAAGTTAAGAGCTTTACTCGGCACTCAGGAAAACTGAACAGTGATGGATCTTTATCGTGCTAAATCCCGCCGTGACAGTGGGCTTCGGTTTTAAGGTATCATCCAAAGGACCCGCAACTTTACTTTAAAGTGTCACGAGCTTGGCGAAGGAACAGTTTATACCTACCTTTTATCGACTTAGGTCAGTCGCGGCTGTGATTCGAACACACGACCTTTCGATCACGGAGCGAGCGCTCTGAGCTCTGATCAACTGAGCTAACGTGACGGTTCCACATAAATGAAAAATGCTCGAATGAAATATACAATGTAATATAAGTTTAAGTTTATACAATCATGGCCCTTTCAGCCTGGAGAATACACATGTAGCACAAAAGTTGCTCAGATTTACATGGAAAATATTAAAAATTAATTATTTTCTCTTGAAAACCACCACGCTATATAGATTTGTATTTTGAAATATTACTATGCATGTTGTAGATTAAAATTTGTTCACATGTCACAAAGGCTGGATTGGGCCACCACAAGGGGTTAACTTTAAATATAAAAATGAAAAGAAAAATACTTTAAAGTCTTATTCTCAAATAATATGCGGTTCCATATTGTTTAGAATTTTAAGCGAAAGTTCTCATGCAGAAAACATGAAGTTTAATTCAATTTTGATCTCGTGGGTAAGATTAGGCAATAGAGAAATTTCAATTTTAAGCTTAAATTTTTGAGGAAAAAAAATCTACTCAATGATTTTGATACTCAAAACTGTTAAATTTATTTTTAAAATACACTGATATACGAGAGTTTAAAATTATCTACATCCTTTAGCCAAGTAAAGGAATATGTTTATTACAGAATTAATGTTTTTTTTTTTTAAATCATCTTCAAAAATTGGTTAGCCAAAATTTGTAGCCCTCCACCGGCAAGTGGTGGCTTCTCCATATGAGTGAAAAATTCTCGAGAGGGACGTTAAACAACAAACAATCAATCAATCAATTAAACATTGGTTCAAATTATTAAAATAGGGTAAAAACATCCTCAATTTACATTCTTCTAAACCACTGTCTTTTTGACAAAATGGAGATGAAATAGAAATAAGCCTGGATTTTACAAAGAAGTAAATAAGAAAGAAGAAAGGATAATGTGACAAAAGCTAAGAACTCATATAATCATTTTGGTTCTCGTCAAATTGTGACACTAAAAATTAAATCATTTTTTATCCTGTTTGTACAGTATATTACTGGGTTGGATTGGAGGACATGGACCAAGATGGCACCTGGATCTGGACAAAAAGTACCAGCAAAGATTTCGATCGGAAACTATGGTTCCCCGGAGAGCCAAATGGAAATGAATTCTGTGGAATGGTGCAATACCTCCCATCTGACCCCCGAGCTGGAATATTTGACCTCATTTGCGACAGCCCATCGAGATTCATATGCGAAATGTGAAATCTTTAACCAGTTGATTACGTGAACATTTTATGCATTATGCATTATTTGTCAAAACGTATTGCACAATGTATAGATATATGAAATTTATCTGATAAATATGTAGATGGCGATTCAGTTACCAAAATCTGTATGTTGATTTTTATAGTAAACAAGTTTATACTATAGTAAAGATTTACTTCAGATCAAATTAAAAGTATCTTTACTATGAATATCAAATTGTTACATTTCATTTGCTCAAATTCTTGCATTCAATTTTTTTTTTATATTTCTTGCATATTCGCATATAATTTTTATTTTTTTTTTACAATATTGATATTGAATTAAGAAATACTACGGCGCTGGATATAGAGGAAGGTCTAGAGTAAAATATCGTAATATATAAAAAAAAAATATGGCCTATTGGAAACTATAGTTTACTATTTCAACTTTTGAAAAGAGATCAATGATACTATGATTTGAAAACACAAGCTAACAAGATTGTTATGCCGTTGAATGATAAAACTCATCTTCATTCGTCTGTTTTGAATATAGTATACATTTTTCACCCCTTACAAGCTGAAGAAGGAATAAAGCATTTCTTATTTGCCTGCGTTTCATATTATGAAGATTACATATTTTTCATACAGCATTCTTTCACCTTCCATTTTTTTTTTATTTCGGTTGTTAGATTCTAACTTAAATGACTATGTATTCTGACCTCATAAAGCTTAGATTGAATATGCATAAGATAAAACACAACAATAGTCAAATAATATACAATTACGGACTCTTAAGTCGATGAATATGGTTTGTTAATCACCAGAAAAATATCAATATTGACGGAGACATTAATGCTGCATGTTGCCACTTTATCTCATATATTAAACTTCAAAAGTAAATATCCAGATTTCAAGTTACCACTTCCGTGTTTTCCTTTTTTTTTTTTTTTTTTTTTTTTTTTTTCAAAATGTCTGAAAAATAATCCTGCAATAGGCTTGCCTAAGATTTTACTGCTCAGATACACAGCAGGCTCCTGCAGCTGCAACCATTGGTTACAACGTAGTGGGAGGTCATAATGTCGCACACGCGCGCTTACTGAATACGGCTTCAAATCTAGTGAATATTTTACAATTATGGACTCTCTTGGTGGTGAATATGATTTGTTATTTACTAGAAAAAAATATACGTAACGACCGAGCCGAAGCTTGGGTCAAAATTAATATTTTTTCTGCAAACTGCATCTATATTCCTCACCAAAAGAGTCTATGATTTTTATTATATAGTCTGGGTTTGAATGAATAAGACAACAAAGGCTTCATGACGACATCACACTCATTTCAGCTGACATGAACTCTTAAATATGCGATATTTCCATCCTTGTACGAATTATTTCATTCCAATGCTCCCTTTTCCGCTATATTTCTTCTGAATTAGTTGCCTTTGTACATGAACACATCTCCGATGGCAGTTTTGGAATACGCCATGAGCTGACCGAAAACATGCAGGTCTGTACACATCTCCAATAAAGAAGTTTTGGAACATGCCATAAATTTAACAATCCTACCAAAACTAGGAATTTTATTAAAACTGGAAATAAGTATATAAATTTTGATTAATTTATATGCAATGCCTAAACATCAAAACGGCACATGTATGTATTTTTGATGCGCAAATATATTTGAACAATAAACAAGAAAAGACTAGCACATGCATTTCTTTTCAAATAACACTGTACTGTTTAGCTCTATGCATGCTATACGGTATATGCACACACATGCCAAGAAAACGCGTAGAATGCTTTAAACTCATCTATGTGAAACACTGCTCTCGGTATAGGATTATGAACATGTCGAGAGATTTGCTTTCTTTTCCTTTTATTGAAATATGCATCACAGAAGAAATAACTTCATTTGTAACTCAACCGTAAACGCATAGTCACTAGCACTTGAACACACGTGGTCCCTGTCAATCAGCATTTTTGGTCAGGAAAATATCAAAGGTGGAAATGACACTGATATTTTCCTGATTGAACTGTTGTCGGTGCATGTAATGAGTATGTTCATAAATGTTGCTTCATTACATTAAATTTATTACCTAAAGATACATTGTACATTCCTGTTACGGATTTTACATCTTTTAAAGAAAATGAAAGGGGTGGAATGTGTATAATACATTCTTCAATATATTCTTAAAAAATATGATAAAAATGATAAAGATATGATGACTTCAACTTTTCTTTCGTCAACCTCACTCTCTTATATAGCAATATACACTTATCACCTGCTATTGGGGGTTGTCCGCGTGGCGCATGGCAGTGGTTAGAGCGTCTGCTCCAGACTCGCAGTGTAAGGAGTTGATCCTTACGTCGCGGGTTCGAATCCCACTGTGGGACGAGCAGACAGGTCCTAAGAATGAGACTGTATAAACCAAGGTGTCGCAGTACGTGCTGGCAAGAAAAAGATCCCTCACTGCTCAATGGCCCTGAGTGCCGAGTATAGGACGAAATGTGCAGCACTGCATCGGGAAGTGGTTTCCATATGAGTGAAAAATTCTCGAGAGTTTGTTAAACAACAAACAAACAAAAACAAAACTTGCTATTGGGGTTTATATCTCCCAGTTGATTCGATACGCAAGAGTATGCTCCACGTATGAACAATTTCTAAAACGAGGCAAACTAGTGAAAGTTGGTAATACAAGGATCTCAACAGTCTCGTGAAATATATGGAGATAACGAACAGTATTCAAGCTCAAAAGTCCATTAAACATTACAAAATAGTTGCAGAGCAAACACAGACCTCCAAAACATCAGAGGTGGGATCAGGTGCCATGGAGGAGTGAGCATCCCCTGCCGACCAGTCACACCCGCCGTGTGCTCCATGTCATGATCAGGAAATAACGGAGAAATCCTTCGACAACTCAGTGTGTAAATAATGGCCTAACAATTAGTATGAAAAACGTCAGTCAGCATTTGACTCAATGATAAATTGTATTTGCTGACAAGGTCATTGTATCGACCATAGAAATTACGAAATGATGACTTTAAACAAGCTGCTGATATTCTTGTTTCATCACTTGTTTGTCAATAATTTACCTCGTTTTAAAAATTGTACATACGTACAGCATGCTCTTGCGTATCGAATCAACTGAGAGATATAAACCCCGTATGCAGGTGATGAAGCTATATTGCTGCATAAGTAAGGGAAGTTGACGATTGAAAAATTAAAGTCATCACGTTTATCACAAAGCTTGGTTGATAGATTACCATTAACGTCTTTTTCAAGTAATTTCAGATGTGTCAGACTCTGTAGTATCTTTTATCTCAAGCTCACCGGGATATATCGTATCGACATAAGAATGGAAATATCTATTGTTAATTGACAATACGTCGTCGATATATCTAAATGTAGAGTTGAGGGCCACAGCAAATGTTTTCTTCTTTTCACGTATAAGATTTTGGACAAATTCTGCTTCATATGAATACAATATGTGTACAATCAGAATGCTTTTAACAAAATAATTTTGCAAATGACCAATGACAAGGTAAGTAAATTTACGAGTTCCATTTTTATTGAAAAAGCAGCTGTCAATGATATCAAAAAGCCTGGATTTTAATTTATCGTGGGGAGTGGTTGTGTATAAAGTTGAAAAGTCATAAATGTTTTAGCTGTTGATTTTGGTAAAATCTTGTGATTTCAAATTTTCCAAAAGTTCCCGTTTAAAGTCAACATTTGGCAATGTCTATGGTCGATACAACGACCTTGTAAAAAAATGCAATCTATCATTAAGTGTAATACTGACTGACCTTTTTCATACTAATTGTCATGCAATTATTTAAACACTGAATTGTCTATGGCTTGATCATGTCAATGATCACACGGCGAGTGTGAGCGGTCGACGGGTGATGGAACCTTGCACCTCATAGGCACCGGATCATACCTGTGATGTTCTCCAGAGGTCTGTGTTTGATCTGCTCCCGATTTGTATTGGTTCAATAGACTTTTGAGTTTGATTACTGTTCCTTATCTCCATATTTCATTAGATAAAGACTATCTCTTGTCAGTATAGGTTGATATACATGATGCTTACATTACGAGTACCGAGGTAACTCTCTGATATCACAGCATGAATATAGGTGAACTAGAGTGACCAGAGGAAACTCTCATCCTAGCATTATATTACCTTTATACTTTTGTCTTGATATCAGAGGGTGACCATCTGTTATCTTTATATTGTAATGATTACGGAATTTTAAGGTACGACCATGCGGATTTCTCAATTAGTCACTGTTGATATAACGTGACATTAGTAGGGTATATATACTGGGACTCCGCAGTCGTCTGTCTGTTGTTATTGTGAAGATTCAGCCGAACAGTGAAGACGAGTATAAATGTAGTATTTACGGTTATTAATTCCTCGCCTGTGTTACAGTTTGAGAGTGATTTTGGAAGGCCATTTGAGGTTTGACAAACCAGATATAAGGCCTGCCACGAAGAAGTTGTCCTCCAGTAAAGAGGCTAGCCATATAGTTTGTGATATCGTCTGCATTGGCTGACCAGTTTGTCCAGGCTGCTATACTCATTGTCCGTCCTGAATAAGGCATCCTACAGTATATGCGGTAGTCTGAGGGCGACTTGACTCTATTTTAGTGTTAGGTTAGGACTACCAGTTAATTTATTGTTGCTTGCCTCCGATTGTTATATTGATTTACCATCTGATTATTATTTTACCTAGATGAGGTTAAGACATATTTGTATATTTCGGCAGTCCACTTAAATCATACCAATCAGTTTTAATTAGTTAATGTTGAACACCCCAAACCCTGGAATTGACCAGGTACGATCCCTGTGTTTTTATGTAAGTACGTTACAATATAAACACTAGTAAACTAATTGTTCAGAGAACAATTAGAGGCCTTTCCACCTTTTTAAGTGTTTCCGTGTCATCTGGGCTGAAAAAAAAAGAAGAAAAATGCAAAAAATGAAAAAAAAAATGCTCCTCCAGCAGGGATCGAACTCAAA